TACACACAAATTATTTATTCAAGATCCTTAATGATGTTTACATGATGATGTTTACAGTTGCAGCTAATTACGGCTTTTATTCAATAATTTATAGCATTTGCTTAAAGTAATCAAATCGAGGAATTTTGTTTTTTATTTATCAAAGATGAGCGCGATTCTTGTTAAATACGATTTGTTTATAACTTTCCATTATGTTTCTTTTGTTCGGGGCCCCTACATTTCTTTATTGAGTATTTAGCAAGGTTCTCAAAAACCGAACAGGTCATCGAATGGGTAAAGCTACCGGTTCAATGGTTCACTGGTCGGATCAGTGATCGAATCGGTCGAACCAGTTTAATTAATACGTATTTATTTATTTTATATGTATGATATATAATTATATATATTTTTATCATTAGTTTTATAGCATATAATGACATTTTTCTAAATAAGAGCTGATAAATCAATATTTTAAGTATAGTTTGCCATAAGCAATATTAATTTAAGTTCACTAAAACAATAGATTAATAATTCAATATCTGAATCCAGACAATCCAAATTACAAATACAAGCTACAAAGTCATCAAACATCAAAATACATCCAATCCACCATTACAACAAAGGAAAAAAGAAATAGTTTCAAGTAGTTCGAGTTCAAAGTCATTACAAAACAACACAATTCACCGACTAGAACGAATCATCATAATTTCCACTAACTCCTCCAAATCGAACATCGACATAACCATAACCAAGAAGAGAAGATCATCTTCATCTTCCCCATTTTCATCATCTCCACTGTTGTGTCCATTTTTGTTGCAATTTTTGTTATTGTTTTATCATTCTTTTTTCCCCATTTTAGGTCTTTAAGTTGGTTTTTAGTTCGTTTTGTGTTTTATTATGTATTTTGTTCCATTTTGGTTTTCTTTGTATTTTTCGTATGTTTTTCCTGTTTTTCTTCTTGTTTTTCGTGTGCAGGTCGAAGGCACCATGAGGGAAATACATAGACTGGGCAATCATGGTTATGTAGATGGAATCATTGGCTACACATAGGAGAAAACAGAATTTTATTTCGTGTTCGGATGAATCCGGACGGAACCAAAACGTGAAGCCGCTCAAGTTACGGACCCTTTAAAGGTTGGAAATTTTACATAATTTTTACTCTGAGAAAAAGTGTGGTTTGCAAGCATCATTGGATAGAGGAGTTTGTTAGCTACGCATAGGAAAAAACGGAACTCAATTCCGAGTTTGGACGAGCTCAAACGAGCCAAAATCGTAACGTTGCGCAGTGCAGTTTTTCTTAGCGGCGCTAGTGGGCAACAAAGACTTGGTTAGCGGCTGCTAAGGTCCCTTAGCGGCGCTAATGACCCTGTTTCAACTAAAAAAATATGTTTTTCTTGATTGTTTTGACCTTGGTACATGTATTGGCCGACCATGAAACATTGGTGAGCTATTTTTGCACCACAAAACACCATTTCTTCTCCTTTTCTTCACCAATTTTCCTCCATTATCTTACCTATCTTCTTTTTGTTCTCTTTATTTTCTCATCTTTTCCCACCAATCCAAAGTTATTCCATTCTTTTGAGTTCTTAATTCATCATGAAGTGATCATTGAACACTTTCATATGTCTTGTTGCAAGAATTCATTAAGAATTAGTGTTTTTCCATCTATAAATACCTTCTTTTGTATCCTTCATCTACATCCCTCACAATCCAAATTATCCTCTCATAACTACCATCACTTTCATATTAGTGTGTTTCTAGATTAGTTTTGTTCTTGTGTTGAAGTTTGGAGGTGTTCTCCAAAAACGTTTCGATATTCGATTTGGCTTGTACTTATTTCTCGACTTGGATTACTTGTAAGTTTTCCTTCTTGTAATGATAATTTGCAATGAATATTATATTGAGTTTAGTTTTGATATGAATAGCTAAATCATTTGCTAGGGATAGGGATGGATATTTGATTTCGTATGTGATTATCATACTCGTCGATTGTTCATTTTGTATGAGTTAATTCTAAATTCTGTTTTTGATTTTTACTTTGGAGTGACATATTGTTGAAAAGTGACAATTCAACCTTGCAATTGATTTCTAAGTATTGAAGAGTGACACTTCAATGTTAGACTTGTTTTCAAATTGAATATGATGTGTTTTATTGTGACGATCACGATTCGAATAGATTAGACGACTAAAAATCCTATAGTCTATTTAAATTGACTCTTGAACCGAAAGGGGAAAGGTCAATCGATCGAGACTCGTACAAAATAGACATAATCCGAAAGGTATTGTCTATGTGTTAAACAACTCGTTAATTTACCGTTTATATTTATTCTCATAATCCGAAAGGTATTGAGGATGAACCTCTAAACGTGTAGGTGACTCGAACTCTTTAACCGAACTATCACGAGACGATGATTGCATTTCGATTCAAAATATTTATTCCCGATTCCCTAGCATCTTTATCTTTGTGTCATTTATATTAGTTAGATTATTGTTTTATGTTATTATTTTAGTTAATCATTTTCCAAACCTATCAAGATTAGAATCTTTAGGTTTTATTTTCCATTCTTGTGATTTCGACACCAATACTAGATTCTGAACAGTCTTCCTCGAGAGATCGACTCGGGAAACGAATCATTTGATTCGGTGCTCGGTAAAATAAAAATAATTTGTCTACAACAAATTTGGCGCCGTTGGCGGGAAAGGCAAGTAGGATATATAGTTTTGGTGTTGATCTTATTTTCCGTGTTTCTCTTATTTTTGTGATATTTGCTTAATTTCAGTGTTTCTCTTGATTTTGTTATTTTTCATATCTATTGTTTGTTTTTTTTTTATTATTTTGTAAAAATCATAAAAAAAATTATTATATATATATATATATATTTCTTGTTCCCGTGTGCCTTGGTTGTTTTCTTTTCTTGTGCGAGGTGTTTTACTTGAGGAGCTCCGATGGACCCGTATGGCTATTCTTATGCCGGAAGCTCATCTCATGGATATCCCGACAACTACCAAGAGAAGATGCACTCATATAGAGGGCCGCCCTATCCGTATCCGAACTACTCAAATTCCTATTGCTATGACGGATACTCGACATCCCAAGACTATGGCCCGAGCCATTCTCACACGACATCTCAAGGTGAGATATTATATAGGACTTGATTGTGTTTGCAGTCTCAAATTTGCAGTGGTTGCAGCTAATTACGGCTTTTTATTCAATAATTTATAGCACTAGTACAACGCCCGTGTATTACACGGGTGCTTGCTATTTTTTTATTAAAATTTAAAATTAACGAGAAAAAAATATTGAAAATTTCAATACCTTTTATAATATATATATTATTTATATATTTAGTATGACACTTTTTAATTTGTGCGATTTACCTGTGTTGTATTATAATATTTTTTTGACTTACAACATATAACTACATTAAACATAAATATATCAATTGAGAAATAATTTTATTTTTCTAATGAATTTTAATAAATATTATTATTTTTTATTATTGTAAAGATAAATATGATTTATTTATTTCATATATACAATATGGATGTCAAATCGAAGATCATCAAAAGATGATTAATTTGATATATTATAAATGTAAAACCGATAAGAAGTACAAAAGTTATCAACTTTTAAAATACATTTACAATTCAATAGCTAATTGAAGGAAACAAATCAAAAGTCAGAGATATATTAGTCACTTAGTGTCTCACTAAATAAAATTACAAAGAATTAAAGGGTTATATTAGTAATATTTATAGAATGTCCGAACCTAGATTATTATTTGTCCAAACCTAATTACGAAGCATGATCTTCGCCAAGTAAGATTCCAAAGCACTAGAAACAGCCACGTAGGCTAAACACATTCAGGAATAATATATAGGGAGGGATTTGCTTAAAAAAATCAAATCGAGGAATTTTATTTTTAATTTATCAAAGATGAGTGCGAGTCTTGTTAAATACGATTTGTTTATAATTTTCAATTATGTTACTTTTGTTCGGGTCCCCCCACATTCCTTTATTGAGTATTTAGCAAGGTTCTCAAAATCGAACCAGTAGCTTCACCGGTTCAATGATCACTGGTCATACCAGTGATTGAATCGGTCGAATCGGTTTAATTAATATATAAATTATTTATTTATTTTATATGTGTTGATATTCGAGTTAGCCAGGAACGAACCGGGAGAAGTCATCCTCTAAACCCGGACCGGTATCTTGGATAATTGCGAAGTGCCGAGTTGAACGAGAAGTTAGGTCAACCGGGACGATAAATGGCGTCACCCACAAGACCGACACCTCGATCACCCAGCGGCGGGGCCGACCTCCTCAGTCGTCGAGCTGATGAATAGATTCTCGAAGGCAGGGGAATAAACAAGTGTTCAAGAGCCGATATGAAGATTTACCGTGACCGGCTCCCGAACGGGCGCACTGCTCGAA